TATCCCGAATGAGATGAATTAACACAGTGACTGGGATATGTGGTGCAGGTGTGTCAGAGACGGATTGGCTCAGGATAGAGCAGAGTTCAGAGCTGTTGTGGATAGGGCCCTGATGAGTCACAGGTGACTCGATGGTACTTAACAGCAACAACATCTGATATCAGTGTATATCTGTTTGTTTCATCATGATAAAACTGTTGGATACCTAGAAAGTATCCAGGGTCTGCACCCAATTTTCTAAGAAGGTGTTTTAGGATTTTTTAAATTGATGTATTTTTTGGAATGAAAATGATGGCTATAGTAGAATAACTGTAATAATGGTAATACTATGAACAGTAGCAGCTAAAATTAATCAAGTATTTTCTTTGTGTCAGACACTGAACTGAACACTGGAAAATATTTTCTATTCTATCCTCATGACAGCCTTGTGACATAAGTGCTAATTATATTCCTATTTTTATAACTGAGAATAGTGAGCCATGCTGTTGTATGTACTGTCAAGTCAACTATGCCTCATAGCTACACCATGAACAACAGATTGGAAGCTTGGCCTCTCTCTCACCATCCTCACCTTTCTGCTGTAACAGTCATTGTGTTGATCCCTCCAAGCATAATGTCTTTTTCCAAGGACTGACATCCTTGCCATCATGCCCAAAGTATGTGAGACAAAGTTTCACCATCCTTTCCTCTAAGGAGAACCATGGTTGCACATCCTCTAAGACAGACTTGTTTGCTATTTTGGCAGTCCATGGATTATTGGATGATCTCTAATACCACAAACTAAAGACATTGATTCTTCTTCTGTCATTCTTACTCACTGGCCACCTTTCAGATGCATATAGGAAGCAATTAGAAAAACTATGGCTTAAATCCAGTACATGGTTCTTAAACTACTATCACTGCTCTTTAATACTTTGGAGATTTGACAGGAGATTTCCCCCGTGCAGCTTGTCTTTTGATTTGTTGACATATACTACTAGAGGTGTTGAGTGTAGATCCAAATGAAATCATTGATAGTTTAAATCTTTTCTCCACATATCATGATGTTGTCCATTGGTCCAGTGATGAGGATTTTTGTTTTCTTGATGTTGAGATGTTCCATATTGAAGGCTTTAGCCTTTGATCTTCTGCAGGAAGTGCTTCAAGTCTTTGTTACCTTCTCCAATCAAGGTTTTGTCTCCTGCATAATGCAGGTTAGTGATCACCCTTCCTCCAATTTTGATGCTACATTTTTCTTCATGTAGCCTATCTTCTCAGGTGATTTGACCAGCATACAGACTGAATAGGTATGAAGAAAGAATTTTAACCTGACACACACCTTTCCTGATTTTAAACCATGCTGTGTCCCTTTATTCTTTTCAGACAACTGCTTCTTGGTCTACGTAAGGTTTCACATGAGGACAATTCTTCCAAAGTTAGATATTATTTGTTATTATCTACACAGACAATTGCCTTTGTACAGTTAATAAAACATATGAACATCTTTCTGATAGTCTCTGCTTTTAGCCAGGATCCATCTGACATCAGCAGTGATAACCCTCATTGCATGACCTCTTCTGAGTCCAGCTTGAATTTCTGGAAGTTCACTGCTGATGAGCTTTTCTAGTTGTTTTTGAATAATTTTAAAGAATATTTTATTTGCATGTGATATTAATGTTAGATAATTTCCACATTCTGTTGGATCTACTATTTCTTTGGAGTGTGAACAAATATGGATCTCATCCATTCACTTGGCCAAGTAGTTGCCTTCAAAATTTCTTGGCATAGACTAGTGAGCATGTCTATAGCTGCATCTGTTTGTTGAAATATGCCAATTTGTATTCCATGAGTTCCTAGGGCTTAATCTTTTGCCAATGTAACTTGAACTTCTTCCTGAAGTACTATTTTTGATCATATACTACTTCCTAAAATGGTTCAGTGTCGACCAGTTCTTTTTGGAAAAATGACACTGTGCAAAAGACCTCTTGAAACTGATAAAGAACAAATATGTCTCTTTGAGGATTAAGATACATCTAACTCAAATCATGGTGTTGTCAATTGCTTATATGAATATGAGAGCTGGACAATGAAAAAGGAAAGCTAAGAACTGATACATTTGAATATAGTGTTGGCAAAGAATGTTGAATTACCCTGAAATTCAGAAAGGTTAAGAAATCTGTCTTGGAAGAAGTACAACCACAATACTCCTTACAAGTGAAGATGATGAGACTTTGGTCATATTATTAGAAAGCAGTAGGATCTGGAAAATGACAGCATGCTTGGTAATGCAGAGGGTTAATAAAAAGAGGAAGCTTCTCAATGAGATGAATTTATGCAGTGGCAGGAACAATGAGCTCAAGCAAAGTGACAATTGTGAGGATGGTGCAGGACCAGTGTTTTATTTTGTTGGACATAGGGTTTCTATGAATGGGAACTGAGTCAGTTACACCTACAACATTAACAACAACAGTAAGGGATGCATGGCTAACTGGTGGTAAAACATTGTCTAAGAAATGGTTTCAGAAGCACCAGCTTCCTAGAAATAAAAATGAAATTGATATTCTATCAACAACATCAGTACTAGTTAATATTTTCCCATAAGGTTGGCCTCATCATCAGGCATTCTGCTTTTGGATACAATTTTCTTCTGGTATGTCAATCTCCTTTTCTCCTCCCTCTCCCAACCCCACTCCCATCTGTTTCTTTGCAAAGATGATTGATGACTGAGTCTGGAGCCAGAAATGACTGACAGCATCTGTAAACCCAGGAGCTCACAAAAAAGTAACTAACTGGAAAGTCATTAACTGATGCAGAAACTCTCTTCTGTTCCCATAAGATCATTGGCCCCTGGGAACAAGACTCTTGGGCTCTTTTACTCTGAGAGATTATCACAGCAGTGTAGAATGCACGTGGTAAACAACAGGGCTGTTGGAGGCAAAGACTTAGATATCTGCTTCAAATGAAATAATATTCCAGAATCATATCATTTTTATTATTGTTTAAGCAGCAAAGGGTTAATTAAAAGTGCTGTCTCGCCTCTAAAGATAGACTTTTCTCCTTTGCCAATATATGACTGTTTATACTGCTAGTTCATTTCTCCTGTCTTAACGATTTTTTATTGCCTGCTAAACTAAGTTTTCTCTAAATTGCTGGAGAAGAAAAACACCCCAAACTGCTTATTCCACCGAAACTGGCTCTTATATTGGCCTATACTATATTGGCCAAAATGAAATCCACTTATCCAGGGCACTAAAGTTGATAATATGGGAGCAAGGTTTTTGATAAGATTTTTTAAAAATCCTCTGGAGCCACAGTTGGTCATTACTTAGCCTGTCAATCTCATGTAGTCAGTAGGATTTCCTCTACCGCCTCATTGGATAATTACATTTCGTTTTATTGTTTGTGCTACTATCATATAAGCACTGAGAGGAAAGAAACTATGACCAAGAGCCTCTATATAGAGAATCTGGAGTGTAAAAGATGTTTGAATGCTGGTCATGGTAACTTGTGGGAAATTAACCTCCTACATTATGGCACAGTTGACTAACACCAGGATCATATGACTTCCTAACTGCTCTGTTCTTCGGCACATATCAGAAGGGTTGAGCTAGTGGTTTCTAGTTCTAGAGAGGGCATTGATACTTCAGTGGTGGAATTCTTGCCACCTATGCAAGACACTTGGGTTCACTTCTGAGCCAATGCTTATAATAGAGGTTTGCATGTTGTTATGGTGCTGAATAGATTTTAGCAATCTTCTAGACTAAGGCAGAGTAGACAAAGAAACCTGGTGATCTACTTCTAAAACTCAGCTAATGAAAACCATCTGAATCACAATAGCTCAAGTCTATAACCAAACATAGGGATGGTATAAGGCAGGGATTTGTTTGTGCAGCAGGTCACCATGACCTAGGGTCTCATTGACAGCTATCAACAACAATCTAAGGATTCTAAAAGTGCTCCCAAGGACATAGGTCTGCTAAGGTGCTCTCTTGGCACAATACAGAGCCCAGGCAAGTCACTTGGCTTGAAATTCTGACTCTCCCACTTCCTTGTCATATGATCCTGTGCAAGAATTTCTTTTTCCTGACTCCCACTCTATAAAGAACAGGACTTTTCTCTATCACTAACATTTTATGAGGATTATCCTTCAAAGAATAGGTTAAGTTCTGTAAAAATACATTTAAAAGTCTGTAAATTTTAAGTGGAGTGTGTGCATGTGTATGTGTGCTTTGTGTTTATGTGGTGTGATGAAAGGAATTAGAGGTAGGCTGTTTAGGAAAACATTGATTTTGTTATTTTACTGGAAGTTTAAGGCTTTCTCCCCAATTTATAGACTAATCAATACTTAATGTTAAAGCTCAGCACCAACTTTGAATACTTTCTAGGAAAATCACCAGCAAGTTATTCTTAGTTCACCACATATTACTTCTTGAACAAAAAGAAACTAATTCATCTTTGAATGTTTATCTCAGCAAGTTATTTTTAGTTCACCACATACTTCTTGAACAAAAAGAAAGTAATTCAGCTTTGAATGTTTATCTATGGCATGGAAACTTGGCTTAATTCCCTAGACATCTGTAATGTCATCAAGTTTACCCAAACATTTAATCTAAATTCTATGGGCTATCATTTAAGGCCATTATGGCTAGCTTTCTCATAAATTAATCTATTTAATAGTTCTTTATCCTGCTCATTCAATTCTTTTCTATTTCTACTTTCAGCTATCATCCCAAATGCCTTCATTTTATTTCTCAGCCAGTTCTCTTTTTCTTGACTCAAAAGTCATCATTTGAAAATATTTATCACTCTTAGTTGGTCTCCTATGAAATCTGAAGTGCATTTCATCCAGCTGTTTAAATTCATGATCACGGATTTGCTAATCCTTACTCTGTGAATCAAAGAGAAGGGCTCTTGCCCAAATCCCCTTTTCCTCTGAATGCATATACTTGCTTTAATCAAAGAAAACAACCCAAGGTGAGCAGGGAGAACAAAGTCCCTTCCTTGGGTGAAGTGGCTCTTACCACAAAGACTTCACAGCAGATGCAAAGGCCACTGTTCTTGGTAAAGGCATGAGTTATGTCCAAGAGAGCAGGTCTTGTCATGGGTGTCCCTGTTAAGACAATGCACTGAGGTCTGGAAATGAAAAAATGAAAGTGTGTGAATTAGCCATTGTAAGAAGCCTGTGCACCCAGAACCACCCCGAATGTAATCAATAGCAATGGGAGTCTTGGTGAAAAGGGACGTCTGCTTTCCTAATTATTCATTAGGTCCCATCATAATTTTTCAGTCATCTTGCCTGTTCATGGTGCTACCTTTGTATTCTCAATGACAATAAAAGGGTAAAGTAAAACACAAACAAACAAACAAAATGCAACAAAACAGTACCACTAAAGAACAAAACAAACTTAGGCTTGAGTTTCTTTCTCTTTTTGCCTCTGAATACTTGTTAACTACTCTTTGAGTTGGATCCAACTCATGACAACCTTAATATAAAAAGATAAAACCTTGTGCTGTCCTGTGTCATTTGTGTGTTTGTGTCCATTCTTGAAGTTATCGTGTCCAACCATTTCAATTGGGATTACCCTCTGAACATCATATTGTTGCTGTGTACTATCAAGTCGGAACTATCCCTTAGCTGACCCTTCAGCAGGTTTCCAGTCAGTAAATAGCACAGAAGGAGATTGCCCAACCTTTCCCCATGGAACCGTAGGTGCATTTGAACTGCTCGTCTTTGGGATTTTAACACAACTTATTACCACTAGGGCAACAACGCTCCCTCTGGATAACATGGTAGCTGAAATTCCTAACCCAGCTTTGTTTCTTTCTAACATCAATATTTTCACATTGTTTGGCATCCTTCTTGCAAGCTTGTCTTTTGAGATTCCATTCTAATAAAACATAGCTATTAAAGAGCTTAATGTGTTACCTTTGCTAAAAAATTCAGTAACCCACAAAATCCTACTTAAGTGGAATTAAGCGCGCTCCAGTGATTAAAGTGTGTGGGGTTTGGGGAACTTCTCTCTGAAATCATGTCATTAGGCCATTCCTTTCTTTCTTAGGTAGGAAGTGACAGCTGGCATGATGAGTCACTATTGTTGGAGGCTGGCATAGCTCAGAGTTGAAGGGAAGAAATAGGAAGTGCTGTCATAAAAATGTGGCAGATTGGTGTGATTATTGATTTTTAGGATATTTCCATAAAGCATGCTACTAGTTTTTGTCTCCCGTAAAAAACAGTTACATCTAATGTGGGCATTGATTCAGGTTTCCTGAAAAGCAACATTACCTGAAATTTTTCACATGATCTTCCACAGTGGTTAGTTCCAGGGCATTATCTAAAGCACTCACATAGGAAAGAGCCTGCGTGGAGGAGCCCCAATTCACATCTGTAGATGTAAGAAGAAATTGGCATAAAAAGCATTAACCTTTCCTCTGGATAGAGTGAGTAGTTTTTACAAGTCATTCTGTTCTTGAATTTTCCCCAGTTGTGTTATTGGTAGAGCACCTAAGTTAGAGACCCTATAACCTAGCATTTCCTATGAAGAGCATCATGTCTTCCTACAAACCCTGTGAAACCTTAGAAAGGAAGCTTCTTTCCAGCTACATGCCAGACTGGGAAGCAGAAGCCTTAGAAATCTTCTATCAAAAGCTGCTTGATGGTGGAGATCTGTGGAACATACAGATAGAATTGGGAAAGAGGTCAACCTGTTAATAAATTAAAAGGCTCTTTACCAGTTCTTAAATGGAAATTGAAAATAAACTTTGAATGTTGTTAGATATCATCAAGCTGATCATGACTCATGGCAACCCTATAAACAGATCTGAACCCTGTCCTATCCTGTGCCGCCAGCTTCACAATTTCTGACATAGTCAAGCCCATGGCTTCAGTCACTGTGCCAACCCACCTGATTGAGGCACCTCCTCTCTTTCGTTGTCCCTCTACCTTTCCAAGGAGGGGAGGGGAAGTAGAAGGTGAAGATGGGGACAGGGAGCAACTGGTTAATCGTAGGGTCACACAATTTGATGAGTGAAGGGAGCGGTGGGTAAAGGAAAGGGGAAAGATTCGGTGTAAAAAAAAATATATATGAGTTTTATAAGTAAACCTGTATAAAATAAAAGTTTTATTTTCATAAAATAAGTCTTAAATCATACCTCATACCATAGTAAAAAAAAAATCTCAGAATTGACTATAGTCCTAAATGTAAAGCCTAAATCGTTCAAGCTTCTGAAAGAAATAGAAAATTTTTGTATTTTGGGTTAGAGAAGTCATAAAGGAAGAAAATTGATAAGTTTGACATTATAAAAACTAAAAATCCCATAATCTTTATGTTTTGGGGTTTTACCCCCTAGGTCTCTGATGGTACAAGATGTGGATCTTGCTTGTTGTTTCCCAGTTGATAGGTTTTGTGTCCTTGTCACATACCAGTTGATCATAGGTGGTGGTCATTAGGTGCTGTTAATTTGAGTATGACTCATAGTAACTCTATGAACAAACTCTGCCCTATCTTGTGCCATCCTTGCAATTTCTGAAACACTCAAACCCATTGCTGAAGTCATGTTGTCAATCCTTCTCATAAGTGGTCTTCTTCTCCTTCACTGACCCCCATCTTTTCAAGCATGTTGCACCTCTCCAGTAAATTGCTTCATCTAGCTATATGTCCAAAGTATGAAAGCAGAAGCTTCACCATCTTTGTCATCAAGGAGCACTCTGGCTACACTCTCTCCAAGACTTACCTGTTTACTCTTCTAGCAGTCTGTGGGACATTCAGTACTCTTCTCTAGCACTACGACTCAAAGGTATTGATGCTTTCTCTGTCATTCTTATTCATTTTCCAGCTCTGCAATGCATAGCAGATAACTGAGAAGACCATATCCTGACTTAGGTGCACATTAGTCTTTAAATTGACATCATTGCTCTTCAGCATTCTGAAAAGATCCCTTACAGTGGACTTGCCTGGTGCAATATATCTCTAGATCTCCTGACTGCTGGTACCAAGAGTATTAATTGTTGATCCAAGGATAATGAAATCATTAGCAACTTCAGTCCTTTCTCCTCCTATCATAATGTTGACTGCTGGTCCTGTGGCAAGGACCTTTGTTTTATTGATATTTTTCTTTTTTTTTCTTTCTAT